CTTTAGTTGTGAGGATGTCTTGTTTGATTAGTTGAGTTTTACCCTGTTGTTCGTTAACGGCACCTTGAGTAGTTTCGGTTGGAGCTTGTGAAAAACGAGCAGGTCTTCGCCGAGCCTCAATTAGAGCTTCATTATAAAGGTCGTTTCTGTTAACAGACTCCAGGAAGCCGTTCAGATAATCCGAAGATGGAGGAAGATACCTGGAATAAGAACGAGTAATGGAAACAGTATAAGTAACATACTCTATGGGAACCGAAGGTATCCAAATATGCACTACCACTCCTACCTTATTTGAGTTCCGTGTAATTTGCTACACTAAGTTCCAGATCATTGCGGCTGCGTGGGTAATCCCTTTTACTGTTGATCACACTGAGGAAAGCAAGAATAAACTATTCAATCTAAAAAGCTTAACAAGTAATGTGTCAGGTTATTTCACGAAGTGGAATTACTATCTTTATGGAAAAACAATAGGTGATCTACTGTTGCCAGTAGATCAGAATGTAGGAAAACTATGAACATGAAAACAGATCAAATCACAGCCTGGACCCAATGAGTGACATGTACAAAGCGCAGCAATGATTCTCGAATGTTTATCAAAATAATCCACGACGGTCATGTCAGATTTGATCCAGTAAGAACTAACTTCCGACTCGGAAAGCGATCTTCCCTTGACTACGATTTACGTGCGACCCATTACAGCCGATTCGGAACCAGAGGAAACAGCCGTGGATTAAGTAAAAATCGTGCATTTCATTCAAAAGTAACCTATAGTGAGACGGAAATGAAGGCGACAATTTTGGGAAGAATGACTCACTGCATCGCCGCATGTTTAAACACATGACAGTATACAGGAATTTTGACCAATAACCCATGCTTGAGGAGTTAAACGTACTTAGTAAATGCATTGTTGCGCTCGTAATGTACCTGTTACAGTACTCCTGAATAACCAAGAGACATTTTAAAAGTTTCAAGTTACTACCCACGTTTTTTGATTATTTCAGATGCAGCAGGTGATCGAAAACTACAAATCACCAGCACAGACTGATTGCTATGTATAGCAAACCAAAGCAATCGCAAGTATATGGCAGCGACTATGCTTACGTGTTCATAAATGTTCGAATCTCCCACATGCGTAAGCTCTCTTCGGACATCCACACTTCTTCGCGGCGAGACACGCGGTCTAAGTTGTTTGTATGGGCGGCATCGCCACTCACATCTGATGAATCGTCTGGGTCGTCATCGTCATCTCGATCGAAATCGTCCTCGTCTACATCGTCATCTTCGTCCTCAGACCCACGGCCACGCCGCCGACGGGAGCGACGAGAGCTGAAGCGCCATGGTTCGTCCTCACCCGGATTGTAGTCCGGGTCATTTCCACTGCGACGAACACGATGTTTGGCAGATTTGCGAGCCGAACGGCGTCTCCGGCAGCCATTTCCGGACCAGGGATGGCGACCGGCAGTCGAATTTCTACCGGAACTGCGTGATTTTCGCGTGCGATTGGGGCGATCGCGCGTAGGGTTTGTGTGTGTTAGTTGAACGAGATAATTCACACGAAGCCAATATCGATCCTGAGAACGTTAGTTTGCAAGAGAGTACCGAAAACAAAACAAGCTAATGAAGGAAACAATAAAAATATCTAGATACGTGTAGGATACATGATAAGGGCTATTTATAAATCGATCGCTAGAATGAAACTGTGCATAACAGAAAGAAAAGACTTAAACTGCCCAAGAACAGAACGAAAAATATGGCAACGTGAGCTATAACCACAATGTGAAATCCCACACCGGAAGATACAAGAAATTATTTTATCATCTTTCTGTAACTAAAGAATCTGAACTATCACCTTCCACCTCGACTGAGTAAATACCGCCAGTTGACATCTGTCCTCCAACTGAAATCGAGGTTAGCCGGGAAATAAATTATCTCAAAAGACATAGGGCTTCTGCGTCAGACGGGCTACCCGATCAGTTTATAAGGACTGAGTGTTAAGTCTTGGTTTCGGAGTAGACGAAACTCCTGGGCTCAGTGTGGGAGACGCAACAGGCTCCAAATGAATGGTGTGAAAAGGTGACCCTATCGATACATAGTTTGAGTGCTAGTGTAGCTAAGTTGGGTATGCGATTTGCACTGCCAAAGTGTAAGATGTTACTGTAGAACTAGGTTGGTCCAGCACCCAGCCACAATCTAACTGGGGAATTATTAGAGCACGCGGATAACGTGTTATCTGGGCAGCTACATCTCACCCGGCGGACGCATCACGGATGAATTGTCAGCTCGCATACAGAATGCTCGATTGGCATTTG